ATCATCAATATACCTAGAAACATCCCCCCCTACCACACAACCACTGGTTTCCAGTGACCACCCAACCAGTGGCTTAACTGGAGTCAACGATGATCAACGAATGACCCCGTTCCTCACACTCCCACAGCCAACCAGTGCTCCCAGTGTGGTGGGACTGGGCACACTAGCCACCCCCTCCCCCTGTACCTTGCAGTTGCTGAAGCCTTCAGCAAAGAGGATGATCTCGGCGATGAGGGTCGAGTCGGGCACCACCATGGCGATGGGCCGAAACATGGATTTGAGGTTGTCGGGCAGCTCCGTCCGCCCAGCGTAGCCTGCACGTGGCACCATGGTGAAGAACCCAGGAATCCAGCTCAGAACTGGGACACCTGGGCTCCATCCCTGACACGAGAGCAGGGGTGGGGCCTACTGGATCTGGCTGGGGGTCAGGATGCCTGGGTTCCACGAGGAGAGGGTGGGGTCTCTTGGACAGGACTGGGTTGGGTACAGCTAGGTTCACTCCCTGGCTTGTGGATGATTGAATGTGGGTGGGGGTCAGGACGCCTGGGTTCCATGAGGATGGAAGTGGGATCTCTTGGCTTGGCCTGGGGTCCCAGACACCTGGGTTCCCTGCTCATTGGCAGGAGCCTACCTGGGTTCATGGTGATGAAGATGCCGCAGGAGGGAACCAGGCGGATGCGGTGGCCCTCGAAGGCGAAGGTGGCCAAGCTGGCTGCCAGGGCCGAGAGGATGGACAGGATCTGCTGGGCCACCACCGACAGCACTTCCACGTTGATGCGGTTGAACTCATCGAAACACCCCCAGGCACCTGTCTGCAGGGAGGGGTGGGGAAGGTGGTAGTCAGGGGCAATTCCCCCCGCTCTACCCCTCCCCCTACCCGTTCCCTGCGCTGGGGCAGGAAGACTGCTGGGAGGGTGGGGTGGAGCACGGCAACTGTATCCCAAGATGCAGCCAGCTCTGGGGTGGAGCAGGGGGACCACATCCCCTGAGATGCAGCCAACTCTGAGGGGGTAGGGGGAGATCGATTGGCTGAGGTTGGGAGGACATGGGGGAGAAATAAAGGCAGGTGCCGGGGCCCGGATATCTGGGTTCACTTTGCTCTGAAAGGGAACTGGGCTGTAGGGGTGAGGACCAGGGACACCTGGGTTCTGTGTCCAGCCAGAGTATGGGGGGCAGCGAGAGCAGCCACGGGCCCAGCTCAGAGCCTGGACACCTGGGTCCATGCCCAACTGGGGTGAATGGAGGGGGGGAGGGGGCACTGCTGGCTCAGCTCAGAGACCAGACACCTGGGTTCTACACCCAGCTCCCAGCAGAGGGAGGCAGTGAGACAGGGCCCAGGGCTGGGGAAGAGACTGGGTTGAAGTGGGGCAAGCTGGGGGAAGTGAGAAACCCAGATGCTTGGGTTCTCTCCCCAGCATGTGGATGAGGGCAGAGCTGGGATGCCTGGGTCTCCAGGCAGAGGGAGCTCACCTGGGCCAGGCCTGAGTACATGCGGCCCATCGACTTGTAGTCGAGGCCCTCGGAGCAGTTGACCACAATGACGTACATGCCCAGCGCCTTGCCCAGGTCCTTCACCGTTTCTGTCTTCCCTGTTCCAGCTGGGCCCTTGGGGGAGCCGCCACGGTGCAGGTGCAGTGCCGTGGTCAGCGTGATATAGCACCTGGAGGGGGCAGATGCTCAGTCCCCACTCCCCGAGACCCCAGGTTTCTGGGCACACCCCCCCAACCTACCAAAGACCATTCTCCCAGACCCAGGGGGAGAACCCAAGTGTCCAGGCACTACTGGAGCCCACTCTCCTTGCAGAGCTGGGCAGAGAACCCAGACATCCAGGCACCCATTCCACTGACCTACTGGAGCCCATTTTCCTCCCAAGCTGGGCTGGGCTGGGCTGGGAACCCAGGCGTCCGGGCACCCACCCCCAACCTACCAGAGAACACTCTCCTCCCAGAGCTGGGCAGGGAACCCAGCCCCCCACACCCCTACCCCTGAGCTGGAAAAGAACCCAGGCATCTGGGGCACCTGTCGGTGAGCGGGGTGATGACGAGGCGGGGGGCAGTGCCCAGGTACTCATAGCCGTAGGGGAAGTGAGCATTGGTCTGGCGGATCACGCAGTCGTCCATGTCCTGGGAGGCAGGGTCAGGGATCAAAGATCAGTGCCCCCAGCCCTGTGTCAATCACCCCCCAAACTGCCCATCTGCCCCCACCCCTGCAGCCAGCAGGGAAAGAACCCAGATGTTCCCGCCCACCCCAGGGACACTTCTTCCAGCACCCCCAGCAGGAACCCAGACACTTGGGTTCCACCAGGAGGGTGAAGTGGGGCTCCTGGCTCATGCCAGGGCCCCAGACGTCTGGGTTCCCAGCATGGCGCCCCCACCCGAACCTTGTCCCAGTAGAGGCGCAGCTGGCTGAGCCAGTCGAAGGCGCTGGGCTCAGGCACAGGGCAGCGGTGGAGCCGGTCAATGACGTCTCGTGCATGCACCTCCACCGTCACCAGTGCCACCACCTTGAGACGCAGCAGCTTGGGCAGGCTCCCACGCAGTGCCTCTGAGTAGCGGTGCAGCAGGGACACCTGCAGGGGGCCCAAATGCTTGAGCTCTCAAGGAGGGGGGGAGCCTGAGCTCTGTCCCAGAGCAAGCCCAGACACCTGGGTTCCGAATGAGGAAGGGAGGGAAGGGAAGCTGAGCCCAGACGCCTGGGTTCTCAATGGGGAGGGGGCAGGGAGTGGGACTGGGAGCCTGGGCTCTATCCCAGCTCAAGCCCTGGTTCTCACTGGCTGGGGGCTAAGGGGTGAGAGCAGGAGGGAGTTGGGAGCCCAGATTCCTGGGTTCCCACTGGCTCTGGGAATGGAGGAGGCCTGGGTGGTTGCGGGGGGGTGGGGCCTGGGAGCCCAGACACCTGGGTCCACGCTGCCTGGAGGGCCCTGCCGGAGGGGAGGGGAGGGGTCTCACCTGTTTCTTTTTCATGACCTTGAGGAACTTCCTGTCCCCGCGCTCCTTGCAAGTGAGCAGGCATTTGGTGACATCGGCTGTCCACTGCATCTGGCTGGCCGCGATCACTAGCTGGGGGGCCCATAGGGTGGGTGGGGAGCACAGACCCACACCAGCCCCGGAGGTCAGGGGCATAGACCCCAGGGTGCCCAAAGGGGGAGAGGGGGATTCTTAACTGAGAGAGCAGGGAACCGACTCCACATGGCCTGGCCCCGGCTCCCAGTGACCTCCCCAACCAGACCGTTGACCCCTAACCTGGCCTCCTTCAAATGACCTCCCTGATTGTTGACCCTCAAACTCCTAAACACCCTCAACCCTGATCTGTGACCCCTACCTTCGCCCTTCCTGACCCCCATTGACCCCTCCCTTTCCCTTGACACCTGACCCCAACTCCTTATGACACTCACCCCTGATCCTTGACTCCAGACACCCTACCTCCTCCCTTTCCCAACACAATGACCCCTCCCCTCCCTTGACCCCAATCTCTAATGACACTCACTCCTTCACCCTTGACCCAACCCCCAACAACCTTCCCCCATTCCTGACCCCATGATCCCTCCCTTCCCCTTGACCCCAACCCCTAATGATACTCATCCCTTGACCCTTGATCCCAGATTCCCAACAACCTCCCCTTTTCCCAATCCCCCAATGACCCCTCCCCCTCCCTTTGACCCCAGCCCCAAATCCCAGTTGATTACAACATGAAACCTTCTTTAATTTACCTCTTTATTTCTTTTAAATTTATTATTTTTAATGACTTTATTTTATCCTTCAGTGGCTGACTCGCTTCATTTCACCAGCCTTCCCACCAGCAGTTCAAAGTGCAAAGTGTAACATAGCCCTTACCTGCTGCTGGGGCCAGCCACAAAGTTTTGGATTTTAAAAGTCAGGGCTCTTTGTTGTAAACAAAAGGGAGTCAGGTGTGCAGTCTTTGATTTGGTCACTGTTCAGGGCTTCTTGCTTTTATTTTTTCTTTAACAGCGCAATAGTGAGACTGACTTGGCCATAGAATCTGTGCTATATTATCTATGAACGATGCATGCTCCTGGTAGCTGAGGGGGCATGGCATCACTGGTGGCAGCGGGAGCATGGTGGCGGTAAGCAGGGAGCTCCTGCAGAAGCTGCCGGCACTGTCAGCGGCAGAGGGGTGGCGAGCAACCAGGGGCCGGCAACCACCTGCAGACACTGTCAGTGGCAGCAGCCAGCAACAATTGTTGACCACCTGTAGACACTGCTGGTGGTGTTGGCAACAAGGTGACAAGCACTGATCTCCTGCAGACATCACCAACAGTGTCGGTGGCACATTTTCATAGAGGGTGCACCACCACACACCACCACCCGCATGCACCGCCGATGATATTATCTAGTTTTTGTTTGCTTTCACTCTCAACACTAACAGCTTGCCAAAATATAAGGAAAATACAGATAGCAGCAATGTGAAAGATGCAGAGGTCTGGACAGATTTCAAACTAACCCCAACTGTATTTGTTTTCACTTCATGTTACATTTCTCTCTCTATTTACTCCACCCTTTCCCTTTAAAGTGCCTGCTCGACTTTCTCTTTCTTTTCTAAGGTTTGGATCCTCAACTTTTGAGTTGGTCTCCTAACAGACTAAAGGGGTATGCTCAAATGAGTGAGAACATGCTACTTGTCCCTGGGGAACACCCATGCCACATGCACTGTGGCATATAGTACGTTGCGCCATGTGGGGTAAGGGAGGCCGGGGTCAGGAGCTGCTTTACCTGGGGTCCTGGGGGCCTCCAGGAGCTGCAACTGTGGTGGTCCTGCAGCAAGGAGCCTGGCCAGCAGCCAGGTTCTGGTTTTGGGTGGCACATGCTGCCAGCACATATGCCACCCTGTCTTTTTTTAGGCACAGGTTGTTTTGACCCTGGGAACACAGAAGGTCACCCCCACCTCCACCCCATGCTGCAAATTCGCAGTGCGGGTAATGGCTACATGTGTGGAGTATGTGGTGCGCTGCAGTGCAGATGAGTCTGCAGCATCTGAATGTATCTAAGGTTTCCAAAACTTTCCCTCTGGTTCTGGGCAGTTGCTTAAAACTTTAGCAATAGGGCACCCTACATCAGACTCTCAGATCCCAGGTAGTATACCAAATTTCACTAGAAAACCCTACTATAACACATAGGAAAAAGGCTTCTCATGCAGCAGAGAATAAAATGACATCCATAGACATGTAAACTTGATTCTTCATACCCTGATAGTAATAGAAAAGCATTGTGCCAGTGCTATAACAGAATTGTTTTCTGAAGACAACACCCCCTATGCAAGGTACTACCTAGGCACCATAGCTGAACTTCTGTCAGTGGGTTCTGCATGTGCTTTTGGCCACTGTGGACAATGGTTAGGATCATAACATGGGTCATTCCATAACATTGCCCTTTATGGGGGTAGCAATGAATGCCAGTGCTGCTACCTCTGAGTAAGCTTTACAATTAGGAAACCACCTGGATGCAAAGAAAAGCGGTTTCTTACTCAGTCATTCCAACTTGTATCTATACAGAGAGCATGCACAAGAGCTGGTCATAAGAACAGTCCCATATATTTTAGGACACGAGTAAAATTGACTTTGTTTGTCATATCTAAGCATACTACAAAACCATTGCATGCTTGGTGGTGTCTGCACAATAGAAGAGGCCTAGGATTGCAATGGTTGCCAGAGTGTTAAAGAAGAAACTTCAGTTGCAGCGGCAGAGCTGCGTGCAAAATCGTGCACAATGCCTGCCTCAGTTATGTCTGCTTCTAGCTAATGTTATTTGTCTCCCACATTTATGAGCATTAAATCCATTTATGAATTTTTAAAATAAAAATAAAAATGTTGGCAGTTAGTAGCATTAATCAGAGAATAGAACAGGGAAGGCAGAGATAAAACAGCCCAGATTATATTAGTAGTTTTTGCCTTGTTTTCCTTCCAGCAGCTAATTTCAGTACTAAATGAAATATATGCCCTCCTCCTTCTCTCTTTCTTCTTCACCCACCTCACAAATTTTCTCTGTTATCTACTCTTGATCTCTACCAAGCCGTTCTCCAATAACATACAATAGCTCTTACATTTGAAGATCATTTTATTACATAAAGTATGACCTTAGTTTTCCAAGTTCTATTGTGAAATGCAGAGTGGATTGGAGTACTGGATTTTGGGGTTGGTATCTGAAAGCTTTGAAAATGTCCTGGAGTGACTGAGGTGAGAGAGAAATCAAACCTAAATATGACTCTTCTGGTCACTATTTACTTTTCTCAGAAGTCCCATCACTGTACACAGCATGTTAAATACTAACCTAGTGCACAGACTAAGTGCAGCAGCTGGGAGAAAGTGGAGTTCTTCCACTCATAGTCTTAGAAGGATAATGGAGGCACTTCACAGTTGCTGCGGTACCTCCATTATTTGTGTTGCCACCACTGAAATTAGCATGTGGAGAAATGATCAAGACAGTCACATAGGATTTTTCTAGAGAATTAACTTGCTGTTAATCATCTTAATTATTCCTGTGCAGTCAGCCCCCGTCCCCAAAATTTAGACACAAAATCCCTCACAAGTCATGTCCTAGCTGCAATCAACTGTGAAGCGCACATCTCACTCAAAGACTCTTGACTCTAACTGATTGCTAATATGAGAGCACATGAGAGCACTGGCTAAAGTCACCTCCCAGATCTTTTTTCTAATCTTTTCCCAAACCCCTCCATGGCATTCTGGCGTATATTGGCCACAACCCCCTTTCTCTGTACTTTGACCAGAAATCATTAACCTGCACATGCTTTTAGTATCTTGACTGGCTATGTCAACAAGGCTAAACCCAAAAACACTGCGTGCTTCTGATTGCCTACCTGCCTATGTCCTTAGGTCAACAGGGCTACAACCTAAAACCTGCACATGGTTCTAGTGCCTTGCCTGCCTATGTCCTTAGTCCAACAGGGCTACAACCAAAAACTCTGCATGCATTCTCAGTCCCCCAGTGTGTCTCCTACAATGCACCTCTATTGATTGGCATACTACTGTGCAATACATGCACACAGAACATATGAAGGGGAAGAGGGGCCACTGTGCAGGTTCCCTTATTCTACTTTTCCTGACCTTCCTACATCAGAACTGCACTGATTCAGCTGCCCCCCTGTGGCTATAAAGGGGTCTGGAGAAAGGCAGCACAAAAAAAGGACAGCATTTTGACCCGTGTCAATTAAAAAATATGGATCTGAGTGAGATTGAAGACAGGGGGTTTTTTTTTTTTTGGTTTTTTTTTACATGAGTTGTACTACCCATACATCTCTCTCAGCTGTATGGAAGTAAAACATAAATGTTGCCAAGTGAAATTCCTGCCAGATTCCTTGGAGAAGAAGCTATTCTTTCTAGAGCTGCTTGATATTTGATAGGGGTTTTTTTTCCCTTTTTTGGTTTTGTGTTATTGATGCTGTATGGACTAGCACTATAAAAGAGATAATTTAAGGGCAAATCCACACCTGAAAAGTCAAAATCATTGGTTTCCCCTTACAGAAGACTCCCTGGGGAACATAATACAGGGAATCATGGGCAATTTACTACTAGTTGTGATATGTATCTGTCTGATGTAAAAAATCAATGGTTTTCCCTTAAAAAAGGCCTCCCTGGGGACCAAAGAGTAGAAGGTCAGAACAGCTTACTAGTTTGCATGCCTGTCTGTTTGTTCTCTGATGGCAAACAGCACTATAAGTAATGACTATTCAGTCCCTTGAAGAAAGGACCAAGTAGCACTCTGTGCTTTACGTTATCCCCCCACTATGATACCATTATTTCAAGATTCTTATTCTGAAGAAGAATGAAGGATTTAAGGAATGAAATTACACTCTCTTACCTCCCACACCTGACAACAGCCCCCTCCTGCAGGCTTATTCACACACACTGTGTATCATTTCATATCTAGCTGGAATCTCTGCAATATGTTTTTTCTCAGGATTGGGCAAGGTAATGAAATACTTCCCCAGCCACATTGCACATGTATACAACAAACTACAATAAATGGACATGTCCGGTACTCAGTGAACTCCATTTTCCTGCGCCAGCCCATTTCAAGAGAGACAGTCCAGTGTCACCCTTTACTGGCAGTTGTGCATTTAATGACCAGATTTTCTAACATAACAGCCAACTGAGTTTCATCTCCCCTGAAAATGTTAAGAATTATAAGACATTATATTTTATGTTAAAGGGTTCCCACTTTCTAACTGTTCCATCCATAGATTTCAGCATATTCGTAGATCATCAGAAGGATCTCAAAGCACCTATTTGGAAATGAAGCCAACATTAGTTAGGCCCTGCCTAATAGCACTAGAGAACAAAGGTTTCTCCTTGTTTCTCGTGGATTTTAATTTTGTCTCTAGAACTGAT